GCCGAGGCTCTGGCCGACCCCGAGATGAAACCCACACCTCAAGACTGATCCACAGCAGAGGAGGTTTCCGTGACTAGTCGGCACTTAGAATGCTTTTCCCCAGGGAATGAGACAGAGGGTTAAAGACGTCAGAACCCTGGGTCAAGCTGTGAAACAAGTGAAGGAGTCTCTCTGCCAATAATTCCTCTCTTCACCTTGGGGACTAGCAATGTCTCTGAAAACCAGAGAACCGTCTGGTCTCTGCCCACAGCCTCGTCCGCTGTCTCACAGCTCTTAGGGCCGCTCCGGCCTGTCACTCTCCCACTGAGGTGGGTGTTTGTGGGCTACTCACAACCTGACTAACCTCCTCCAGGTCCCCGTTTTCCCCCTGCATTCCTACTAAGGTCATCTCGTATCTGTGTCCACTGAACTAAAGCATTCTCATCCTGCCTGCCTAATCGTGATTACTTTTTATTTCTAGGATGTTGACAAGGACTCTGGAGAAAAATTACCCCTATGTCGCAAAGGTATCTATCTGAATATAGGGGCTGTGACAGAAAAGGGCATAAACCCACACTACAGATGGACCGTCTCTTACCAGATGCGCCTGGGACTGCGAAGCATCTCACATTTCAGATTTTAGAATATCTGCATGTACACATTAAGATATCTTGGGAATGGGACGTAAGACTAAACATGAAGGACTGCGACGCATCTCACATTTCAGATTTTAGAATATTCAGATTTTAGAATATCTGCATGTACACATTAAGATATCTTGGGAATGGGACGTAAGACTAAACATGAAATTCACTTTTTCCATATATGTTTTAGGCCCATAGCCTGAACGTAATACTGAACCTTTTTTTTTTTTAAAGGTTTTTGCCATAGGGTGTGTTTGTTCACCAGAGAAACAGAGGGAAAGTGAGAACTCACTCCCTGGGAGGGATGCCCATGCCCCAGTCCCTTCTCCATTCTCCTCGGGATTTTGAACATGCATGCATACATGCCCCGTGTGATTCCTAAGCCAGCAGGTCCAAAACTTGAAACGTGATCAACCACATGGCAGTCCAGAGCCTTAAACACCATACCACCTGCTGAAGCCAGAGCAGTTTTAATAATTTTGTGCTTGAAATAAAGTGTCATGTGAGCTCAGGTGTAGAATTCTCCACTGCAGCGTCCTGTCGGTACTTAGGTGGTTTCAGACCTTAGAGCATTTTGGATTTCTGATTAGGGACACTCAACCTCTATTTCTCCCTGCTGTGAAGAATTCCACCTTTATACACGTAGGAGGACATCTCCGTGCTAAATGAAGACAGTGATGTTACTGCACTGTCAGCGAGCTCTCTCTGTGGGACTGTGTTCCAGAAAGCTGTGATTTTTTTTTTTAGTGTATCTCTAATTTTTCCCTGAAAATTTCCTATCTTCTCAGTATCCTAGTCCAACATATTCACTGTCCTTGGAGCTTCAAGTACACTGCACAAAAGCATTTAAATAAAAATATTCTATTCTGTCTTTTTTTAAAAAGGGTTACAGGTGACAAGTGAAATGGGAATTTAACCCACAAGAGTGGGGTTCCTGTGACTATCAAGTTTTCACGTGCATTTTTCTGCCCAGATTCTAAGAGGCCTGGAGGAGCTGCAGCTTCCTCAGACTTCGCAGTACATGGACATATTCAATGACACCTCCGTCCACTGGTTCCCCACACAGAAGCTAGAACAACTCTCCAGGGATATTTGGGTGTTTCGGGAAGAGCCAGATTATGAGGACTGTCAGGACCTTGAAATCATCAGGAACAAGAGAGGAGACCCTTCAGCTGCTGGCCCGGACTTGCGGTGATGTCTACAGACTAACAGGAAGGCTGTGCGGGGGGCTGCAGCGAGCACCTTTCTTTGCGGCAGGACACATTTCAGGGCAGGGAAAGGGTTTAAATAAAAATATTCTATTCTGTCTTTTTTTAAAAAGGGTTACAGGTGACAAGTGAAATGGGAATTTAACCCACAAGAGTGGGGTTCCTGTGACTATCAAGTTTTCACGTGCATTTTTCTGCCCAGATTCTAAGAGGCCTGGAGGAGCTGCAGCTTCCTCAGACTTCGCAGTACATGGACATATTCAATGACACCTCCGTCCACTGGTTCCCCACACAGAAGCTAGAACAACTCTCCAGGGATATTTGGGTGTTTCGGGAAGAGCCAGATTATGAGGACTGTCAGGACCTTGAAATCATCAGGAACAAGAGAGGAGACCCTTCAGCTGCTGGCCCGGACTTGCGGTGATGTCTACAGACTAACAGGAAGGCTGTGCGGGGGGCTGCAGCGAGCACCTTTCTTTGCGGCAGGACACATTTCAGGGCAGGTGAAGGGAAGGACGACTGCCTGGCCAGCCTGTCTTGAGAACGACGTGCTGTGTAAGGACATGGTGTAAAGGTTTACACGCGTCTAATGCAGCATCCGCGTGTCTGCCATCTGCTCTGGTGGCCTGGCCTGACGTGGGTTCCCCCCCGAATAGTTACTCTTTTAATTAAAGGTGACTTGAACAGTCTTTATTCATAGGCGTCCCTTGCAGCCCAGGTCTCTGGCCTGCTCTGGACCTGTGACAATCTATTTGGCCATGTCGATGAGGCTCTGCAGGGAGGTGGGCACCCAGGTCTTCTCGCCCTGGACGAATACCACTCCCCGGTCAATGTAGATCACAATGCGGCCAAAGGTGTAGAGCTGCTTCCCCTCATGTCGCTTCCCGATGACAGGCATGAAGACGATGTTGTGCTCCTCAGCCTTGGTCTCGATGAGGTCCTTGAAGTTCATGGGCACAGAGCTGGCAGCCACGCCGATGCCCCTCTGGGCCATGTTCTCAGCTTCCCGCCGCTCCTGCATGGCCTCGTACTGGAAGTCCTTCCTGCGCTCCGTGTGGGTGAGGTAGGCGATGTTCTCCCGTGCACCCGGCTGCATGTAGGCACCTGAGAGAGGCAGGGGAGAGTGGAGAGGGCAGTGAGGGCAGCTTCACAGTGTGTGGACACAGGCATGGCAACCTGGCCCAGGGCTGGGCTAGCCAGAGTGCATGGGACTCACTGAAAGGTGGCCTGTCTCAGATACACAGACTGAAATAGGTGGGTGGGCCCTGCGGGGAAATCACATATGCTGTCTCATGATTCCCGGCTAATATAGAGTAACCAGAGAGGCTGCTGGCCACATGACAAAGAACCTTCAGGGCTGGGAACCTCAGCAGGTTTCACTAGCCACCATTCCAGTCCCTAGTCTGGCTCAGCAGTTTCCACCTGACAGTCCCCAAGAGGCAGCCTCAGTACCTTGGAAAACATGCAGCCTGTCCAGGTCTAACTTCCCCAGCAGGGCAGGGCCCCTACCCTGGGAGAACTGAGTGTGCGCTGAGGGGCTCACACAGGACCAGATGTGAAGTGCTCACTCAAGGGTGCAGACGGGCCGTGAGGCTAGGTGGCTGAGGAAGTTTCCAGAGAAAATGAAAATGAAGGTGGCCCTTGAAGGAACAGCATATATAGAGGAGAGACGTGTATCTGCCTCCTTAAACCTGGCTAATAATTCTGTAATCTATAAACTCCATTTTCATGTAATAGGCTAAAAGGAAAGAGTTAGACTCAGGAAACAGACACTTTGAGCCCAGTGGCCACCTTTTTGCTGTTTGACCCTGGGTGACCTCTTGGCCTCACTAGGCTTCTCTGTGAAACAGTTACACGCCATGTTGCAGTTTCAGTGCTGGGAATGAGCTGATGAGCAACACAGGACTGCGAGACAGGCTCCCAATGTAGGAACACAGGCCTTCGTTCATGGACTTGTGGCAGGGTCTAAGCAGGACGACTTAGTAAAACTGGAGAGTAGATATTGCATCATGTTACATGGACTGCCTATTTCTGTCATAGTGAAGACACCCCCTGTGGGATGCCAGGTACAAACATTAATTCTGTTCCCTGTAGCCAAGGAAGTAGACATTGCGACTGTTTTATAGGTAAAATGGGGCGAAGTGGCTACTCTCAGTCCTTCCATCCTGACTGCACACCGTAAGATGGTCCACCTGTGGGGATCAGCAGATGGTGTAATGGTTACGTTGCTGGACTCCCATGTAGTGGACCACAGTTTGAGTCTTGGACCCTGTGGCTTAGAACTCACTCCAGGCGTGTGTGCACATGTGCCTAAATCCCAAGAGAATGGAGGAGAAGGGACTGTGGTGTGGCTATCTCCCCGGGGCGGGGGGAGGTGTGGTGATTTCTCGCTTTCTGGCAAGTGCGTGCGCCCTATAGCAAAATGTCTCTTAAAAACAATAAAAAGATGGTCCACCTGTGTTGCACATGTTGTACTGGTCGAGCAGATGCACCAGTGAACTACCTTCAAAAAAAAATTATGAGAGGGTATGTGCACTTCAGAGGGAGAGGGAGAGGGAGGAAGCAACCCACAAGGAGACGAGGCCATGCTGCAGCAGCTTCTCTGCCTCTCCATCCCCGTCAGGATTCTGGGCATGCACACACACCGAGAGTGTTTTTCAAGCCACCAGGGCCAGAACTCAAACTGTGGTTGGCCATGTGGGATCTGCTTGCCTTACCCACTAGGTTACAGGTCAGCCCACAAATGAATGCATCTTCCAAGAGTCATGTGTACAGTGAAGTGGGTAAGACAGGCCCTCGGGTTAGACTGACAGTCTGAACCCAGCAGTCAGTCTCCATTGGAGGGAGCTCTTCAGTCACGCACGGGAGGTCTGGGAGTGGGTGGTGGCCAAGCCAGTACTGGAACTGGGTGAGTAAGAGCAGAGTGAGGTGTGCTGTGAGCAGCCTACAGGTACCTGTGTCATTTACATGTTCGGAAATGTGGGACTCAGGGCCAGGGCATCCAAAGGGGAAGGCCACTCACCCACGTTGGAGGACACCGCCCTGTTCATGATGTCGAGTGCCTCGTTGAACTTGTCCTTGATGGACGGGTGTGCCAGCACCTGGTCTGAGAACATGGATTTCCAACCCAGGTACCACTTGGTGATCTCCTCATAATTGGGGCTGTTACTGAGCCAGGAGCACAGCACCTGCCAAAGACACCAATGAGAAACTTTGCATCCACAGTGGTAACAATCAGGAGCAAAATTTCCAAGGGGGCCCCTGGTTTTGTTTGATCCTGGTCCTATAAGCTGGTGCCGCTACTTGAAAGGGTTTACAGAGCCGAACAGGTTGGCCTTTATGAGTGTGCTTTAGGGTCAGCCTGGCAGCTCAGCAGCCCTGTGTGTAAACTCCAGCCTCAGAGTGTCTACAACAGACACACTGCATGCCCCACCCGCAGGACTGCTTGAGGAGTTGAGATAATGCAAATAAAGCGCTCAGAAAGGCATTCGGCAGGCGATAAATGTCCAACAGGCAATGGCTACTATTAGGTTATTCAACCCATTGCTACCCTACCGGGTAATTTGTTTCCATATGTGATGACGCCCACATTCAGGACTTGGCAGGAAATGAAGTGCCCTCCCTGCTCAACAACAAAGCAAAACACAGCATACCTGAAGCCACTTGGAAAAGAAGTGCTTTTCCAGAAGGCCCACGAGGCTGGAGACAGAGATCATCCCTTCCCAGTCCATCACCCAGTAGAAGGCGTCCATGTGCTGCTGGTGGGGGTTGATGACCAGCTCACCGAGACACATCCCTGGAGGAGAGGCCCAGTCACTGCAGCTCAGCTTTAGCACTGGCAAAGCCACCAAAGCCGAGAGCAAATCATCACCAGACAACATCAGGCTCGGATCTGCTTTTAAAGGGCAATTTTACTCTTGGTAAAGGATTTTTTTTTTTTTTTTTTTTTTAATGTTGGAGGGCCTGTGGAGAGTGAAAACCAGCCAACAGGGCTTGGTCTCACCCCAAATTCTTTCTTTCTTCTGAGTCTTATTCCATCAGGATACTAGGCATGCACACCCACATGCCTGGCATGTTTTTCAAGTCAGTGGGGCAGGACATGAACCCTGGTTGGCCACGTGGGATCTGGTTTCCTGTGCAGTGCCTAGCGGCTGTGTGATGACACCAACCCCAAAATAGCAATTCTTAAAAACTGTGTTTTCATGGTGGTTAAGCACTGGACTCCCACATGGCTGACCAGTTTGAGACCCAGACCTGGCATCTTGCTTGCTTTCTCTCTCTCTCTCCTCTCTCTCTCCCTGGGAAGTGCACGTGCCCTATCGCAAATTTAAAAATAATAAAATTAAATAACTTAAAAAAAAACCTGTTTTTATCTGAGAAATAATTCCCTAATACTTTAGAATAAAATAAACATTTGGGAGCACTGAGACGATGAGTCAGGAAAACCTCAAAGTCTAACCATCACTGCAGACATCGTCCCTGCTTCCAGCCAGCAGCAGGCAGGACCCTCCCGTGTCATATTTATATGCTGCCTCTGCACGGAATGGCATTTTACACTGTACTAAGCATTTTCACGAGTTCAAAGGCCACAGTTTACATCGTCATTGCTGACAGCAGAAACCGCTGGCCCCAGAAGTTGGCTAACTTGGACTGCGTTTTCGGCCTTTCCTTTTTTTTTTTGAGATTTTTTGCTACAGTGCACATGTGCTCACTGGAGAGACAGAAACAAAAAGAGAAATCCCTCCCCCCCCTAGGGGGGATGGCCACGCCGCAATCCCTTCTCCTCCATTCTCCTCCTGGGATCCTGGGCACACATGCACACGCGCCCAGCGTGAGTTTAAGCCACTGGGACTCAAACTGGGATTGACTACATGGGAGTCCAGTGACAGCCATTATGCCATCGCTGGTCATCCGTCCAGTCTCCCCACCCTGCGTGAGTTTTAAGCCACTGGGTTCCGGACTCCCACCACAGCTGGACCCCGTGGGAGTCCAGCAATGTAACCATAGCACCATCTATTGGTCCCCTCTGCTTTTCCTTACCCAGCTTGGGCACTATGTTCTTGACCATGAATGCTTCCCAGGAGCCAGGGGTGAAGACGTCTTTCCAGGGCTGGAGGATGAGCTTGGCAGAGGAGTCGCTAGGGTGCCACTTCTGCAGGGCACTGGACAGCTTGCTGCGGATGGGAGAGTACAGCGGCTCCCCCCGCGCCCTCCTCAGGGGGCAGGCCGCGCCTGCATCGGGGGCAGCCACGGGTGGATCCAGGAGTGGATGGGGACCGTGTCTGTCAGTGGGTTCCAGTTTTCTACCTGCAAGGTGTGAGGGCAAGAGAACCAATTCCCGCAGCCTGGGGCAGGCATAACATCCCCTAGGTATTTAAAGACAAGTGTTGTCCTTACGGGGGAGGGGGCTGTACCTTCCAGGCCAAGGGCCGCTGTGTGTGGAGGACGAGATCTCCATTTTATGATACAAATAGGCAGCCAAGGAGCCCTGTAGGCACTGGGCACTGTATCCCCCCAAATACACCCATGGGGTTGTACTGCCGCTCAGAAACAACTAGATCCTAATCTACTGGCAACATCAACAAAATGAATTCCCTCTTAAAGGAGCATTCTGGGGAGAGTGCTGAGACAAGGACTAGAATTAACACCACATTCTAACAGCTGTACTGAGAAGTCTTGCAAATTCCAGGTGTAGAACAGCACCCGTCCCCATGGTCACTGATGATGGCCAGTCCCCTGCCCCTCGCCCTACCTCCTTCTGCAACTTGGGGAAGATGAGCTGGTCCAGTATGTTATCCAAGATCCACACGGGAATGATGTGTGCCCAGCTGTCCAGGAAGTCCACCATCGCCTCACAGTTTCTTGGCTGCCACTGGTTGACGATGTTGCGAACAAAAGGCATCCAGACCTCCCATATCAGCCTTGGGAGAAAGGCGTGAGTGGCTGGCTGCAAAGGACCCACGTACCCCTCCACCCCACCCACCCCTGGAGGCTAAGACATCAGAAGGCAACAGCACAGGAACCCAATTACAGAAAGCCAGCAGGCCAGGCCCCACGCTGGCCAGACCTCAGCCTGCCTCTGCACTCATGGTCAATGTCTCAGGCAGGGCCTGCATGCCTGGCAGGACTGCTTCAGGAGCACAAGGGTCCCTCTGCAGGTATTAGTGCTTTCCCATTGAGGGCCTCTAGCCTCTACCTCAGCTGACACTATTCACCCTCTGCATCTGAGCTCTCTGTTATAACCCCCTCGATGTGTGCAGCCTGTTTTTTTGTTTTTTGTTTTTTGGGGGGAGATGTTTTTTGCTATAGGGCGCGTGTGCTCATAAGAAACACAGAGAGAGACAGAGAGACAGGAAGTGGGAAATCACCCCCCAGGGGGGACAGCCACGCCGCTATCCCTTCTCCTCCATTCTCCTCTCGGGATCTTGGGCACGCACGCACATGCGCCTGGCATGAGTTTAAGTCATCGGGTCCGGGACTAGAACTGCAGTCGACTATGTGGGAGTCCAGCGACATAGCCATTACGCTAACTGCGGGTCCCGCGGCCTATCTTCTTATTTCCCACCCGCCTTGGCCACTGCACTGAAGATGGAGGCTGGCTGCTGCACTCCCGGGGTGAGCCCAGCCTGGGGCGTGTGTGATACTCCACAGACACTAGACAAATGCAGGCTGAATAAAGAATGAGCTTCAGTCCCTGGAGCAGCACTGGCATGAGCATGGGGTTCACGAAGGCCAGGACCAGGCCAGCCCCAGCCTTTGGCAGGGCCTCAGGAGGCTACGGTGCCAGTGCAGAGCTCTGCCCCACATACCTGTGAAAGGCGTCTGCCGAGAGGTCCTGCCCGCCATGGGATAGGAGCTGGTCATTCTCCAGGAGCGTTTTCCACTTGGAGATGATCTCGGTGCCATAAGAGCAGTCCTAAGGGGAAAGAGCCAAGGGGCAGCAGGGTGACCAGCCTGCCCTCCCTCCAGGCAATCTTGTCAAGCAAGGGCACACTCCACCACGAGGTGGACAGGTGGGTTCCCCCTTGACTCACCTTGAGGGGGTCCCACTCTTTGAAGTACTCCTTCATGAGCGGGTGGACGATGGCCACAGCCAGGTCCACGCGGTCAGACATCCTGTATTCCTCGTAGTACTTGTCCTGGAGGGTTTCAAAGACGCGGGCACACTCGTCCAGGGTGAGGGGGTTGCTGCAGTTGGGCTGCATCCGCCGCTCGCACTCCTCCACCATCTCCAGGACTTTGCTCAGGTTCGAGATGACCCGCTCCTCGTGTTCCAGGACCTCGGACATCTTCTCCAGCTCGTGGGACAGGTTGACCACCATGTCCCGCTCGTACTGCAGCTGCCGGTCGTTCTGGATGATCTCTTGCTCCGTGAGGTCAATGAGCAGCTGCAGGTTGTGTTCCAGCTCAGGCAGCGCGAAGCCCGGGGCCTTGATGTCTTTACCAGGCTGCGGCAGCTGCTGGGCCTGCAGCGGCAGCCCATCGTCAGGGACGTTGTGCTTGTGGCTGATCTGGCTGTAGCTGTAATAGACCTTCTGCTCCCGGCCTGTCATGTCGATGACCTGGGTGAACATGGCAAGAGGAATGTGGGCTAACGCTCCCCAACCCTGCTCTGGTACGCACAGAGCTGGGACTGAGGGAAGGCGCGGTGCTACCTGAAGTGTCTAAAACCACACTGCTCAACAGAGCTGGGGTAGGACAGTATTTCTCCGTGGGGGACCCTGCTGTTGGAGCTTAAGACTCAAGGACAAAAACACCAGGAGCCAGGAGCAGTTCTAGACTGGATCCCTAGGGACAAGCCAGACGGGGACGCCTTTTTAGCGAAGCTGGTGCAATGTCAAAAGGAACCAAGTATTAGTGGAAATGAAAACTTACTTTAATGGAACAATAGAAGTGTTCTGCTAAAAACAAGTGACATAGCAACATTCGTGACAAAAAAAAAGAAAAAGAAAACCACCCCAAATATATGCATAGAAGCACTGAAAAAGATCTAGAAGGATGTACGTCAGGATGTGAAAATTTGGTCATTTTTGGAGGATGGAAAATATCATTATCCTTGCCTCTTGATTTTTCCTAATTTTCTAAAAGGCATTATATAATGCTCTTGTAATAAAGGTTGTTTTTAAATATAAAAGCAAAACAAAATATACCAAAGAAAAGTTATTGGGCAAAGGCAGCTTAGCAAATGAATTAATTCCAACACTTCAGGAAAAGTGAAGAAATCTGACTATGGATTGTACTTCTGAGACAGGCTCACTTGTCTCAGAAACCACCTCGTGATACTCCTCGACATCCACCCACCCTCTGAGGAATAAAGGGGTTCAGAAGGCAGGTTCACCAGACTGAGGTCAGTTCGAACTAAGCGTGAACTACGAGCCACCTGCCTTCGCATCACTAAGGAGAGATCAGAGTCCAAGGGCCCAATTTTGATCTTCTGACTTCAGGTCTCTAGGTGGGAACTAGATCCCTGCATTTATCAAGTATCCAACACAGTGTGATGCAAAACACACAGACTTCTGAGAGCCCCACTTACCACTTTTTAAAAATTCTTTCTCTCTCACACACACACCACACTACATATTTTATACCAAACTGACATGTACAGTCACCATTACTCTTTGGCCACCTGGACAAGGAATGGAAATCTGGATACTCTCTATTTAGCATGTAACAGTGGCTGAAAATGCGAACTGTCTTACGAGGAGCAAGTACTCCATACTGGCAAAGCTGCCCTGACGACTCACTCCTGCATGCCTGGTCACAGTGGTTACAGCCTTCTGCGTATTTAAAAACCTTTAAGTACTTTGGTGTTCTTTAACCTGGAAACTGTACTCTTAGGAATCTAGTCTTAAAGATGTGTGAAACAAAGACAAAGCTTTCTATGTAAAATAACGTAACAAAAACCCACACCAAACCAAAAGAAAGGAAAGGCCTCACCACAAAGGTAGGCCTGATTGCATCCCACAGTATAGGCACTCTATGGAATTATACACGTGATGCTCACACTGAATTTCTAGTAACAGGAACGTCATTAAATTCCCCGACTGTGAGCTCCAGGAAGATGAGAATATCGTTCAGCTTCCTACAATAGTGCTGCGAAGAATGCCTGGTCGAGAGGAGGAACTCAAAAACTACTACTAAATAGCAACTAGGAAGATCAGGATCTCACACACATACACACACACACGCGCGCACACGCACATACACGCGTAGGCAGAAGACCTAGAGAACCACAGCAAAAGTTCAGTGATTAAATACCGGAGTGTAGGATTACTTTTTTGTGTTTTCCAGCACATCCTAAGCCAGGTGTCCAAGGGCCCCCATACCTTGACCTGAGAAAGCTCCTTCTGTGGAGCACTGAGCTTCTTGCTAATCCTGCCCTTGGCCTTCAACTCTTCCACTGTCTTGTACGAGTATTTGGGCTTCTTCTTGCTTCCACTGGGGTCTTTCCTCCATTGGCTCAGCTCCTTCTGAAACTCCTGAACCAGAGGGAGTACAGTCATCACAACGGGAACAAACACCTTTTCTGGCAGATGGGGCCACTGAGACCATTCACAGATGTTCACCAGCCTGTCTTAGCTTTACACCGGGTTCTGTGTGAAGCACTGTGCCTGAGTGATACTAAAACCACCTCATGATTCTCCTTGACACCCGCCCACCCTCTGAGAAATAAAGAGGTTCAGAAGGTAGGATCAGCAGACTGAGGGAGCAATAAAAAGAAAGGTAACGTTTTCTGAGCATCTGCCATGCAGACAGCACCCTAGCTTTAAATCTATCTTTCGTAAAACACAGAAATACGATGTAAGGATTTTTTTTAGGTATACAAAACCTTGGTTCTAGTTTAAAATGAAGATAAACTAAGCAGGCCCTAATTCTCAAGGCTCAGATACCTTTTACAATCAGTCTGCAAAACTTTTCTACCGGAAAATCCGAAGTAAAAGAGGGAAATTTTTAAAAAGATTTAATTAATTATTACTACTACTTTTAAAAATTTTCCTATACAACATGCATGTTCACCAGAGAGAGACAAAGAAAGAGAGGGTGAGAAAGCAAGCCACCAGGTCCTGAACTCAAACCGTGGCTGACCACGTGGGAGTCTAGCACCTTAACCAACACACCACCTGCTCATCTCAAAAAAGGGAATTTTAAGTCTTAAAATCCAGCCCCAGAAGTTGGTGTATGGTGGTGGTTTTTATTTGCATGCTGATTTAAACCTCTTTTTCTCAAAAGTAATCTGGATTTCTGGCTACTTTGGGAAAATCAGAAGAATGGGCAATACTGAGCGTACATTCCCACAAACCAGCAATCACCCACGGTAGAACTGAGTCCCCCTTTGGCTGGCTCTTCTAACACCTCTGTGCCTCTGACCACCACTCCTTATTGTCTCACACCTGGCCCTATTTCTCTTCTTGCACTCCTGGCACCTGTTAGCTTCTGAGTGTGACAACCCCTGACCCAAGAGTCATCAGTCCCACACTATCCAATGACTCCTTCCTCGTTAGAAGGAAAGGACCCGCGACAAGAAGAGTAACTACCTGCTGGTTTGCAGCATCCCGCTTTCCCTCATAAACGCAAAGTAGAAAAGGGCTACACTGCAGTCGGGACAGTAGTTTCCTTCTATAGAGGCTGCAGGAAAGGACTCAAAGCTGCAGCTGGTGGCTCCCTGCTGCACCTGGGCGGAACCAGCACCCGGAAGTGGCCTTCAGCGCCCTGTGGTGTGGCCTGTCCTTCCCCTGAATGCACTGCCCTTCCCCTCTATGCTTGGTTTGCTACTCCCCTGCCACTGTGGCGTCCTTTATGGGCTCTGCACCACCCAGCTCAGAGCTTCTCAGTGTCTCCTGGCTCCACCCCTCGCCCTATGGCTGGTCCCTTCTCTTCCACCAGGTCTCAATGAAATGTTTCCTCCCCTAAAAGGTTTCCCAGACCACCTCATTTATTAAAAGTAGCCACAACCCTCTCCCTACCTTATTCTCTATCTTGAGACTGACTAAAACATACTGGCATCTCCCGCCCCCAGTTTTGTCAGTGTATGTGTACTCACCAGAGAGAGAGGGAGAGCGCATCCCCAACAGGGTGTGGTCACACCACAATCTCCTCTCCACTTCTCCATTCTGTTAGGACTTGGGGCACACATGCATGTGCACCTGGCATATTTTTTAAGTTGCCAGGACCAGGATTTGAATCACATGATTGGCCATGTGGGATCTGGTTCCTTTAACCACCAGACTACAGGCTGGCCCACGCAGTGCCAATTCTAAGCACACTGGAGTGGTCTGTGTAGTCTCTGTCCACCAGGCTCTAAGCCTGTCCAGCACAGAACCTGTCATACAGTAAGCATGCAGTGAACAACTGCAGACGGATTGAACGAAGGAGTGAACAGGCAGCTATCTGAAATGGCACAGGCCACCACCCACACACAACGCCTCACTTTTGGTTACCTCTTCGGCTTCTTCTTCTGAATCAACCACAGGGAAGTCTTGCAGGGACTGAGTGGTCCGCTCCGAACCATACGCGCCCACAGCTCCTTTTCCTTTTCTCTGTTTGGCTTCAATTGGGTTAATGATACCTGACACATTTCAGCAAGAAAGAAAAGGAATCAGATCACAGCAACCCAGGTGTAAAGAAGTCATTCCATGAAATCACACATCCTTGCTCCTTACACAAAATCACACCATGTGGGAAAGTGAGCTCTTCCCTGCCCTTGGAACACTATTCAAGCCCCATGGCATTTGGGACTTCTGCGCCTTTATGTGACCCTAGAAGAGTCTGCTGACCACGTGCTATTTATGTCCTAAATAAAGAGTCCTATCTCCACTTAGATTCATGGTTTCGGTAGATGAGAAGAAAAGAGGACAATTCATTCGTACCTTACAACTCAGACATACCAAATTCTACACTTCAGTCGTTTGGAAACCTATTATGGAATAATTGAGAGAATATATTCATTTGGAATGAAGTAACGCTGCAATTTACCATGAAATTCATCTACCTTCCTTCGTAGCTCATACCTCCTATGAAATATGAAGTCTTTTGTAACATGTTTAAGCCCCAGAAATAAACGTTGGCTTTTCCCATGAAAGTGTTTACAAACAGGACCTCCACATTTTCAATGGCGCTTCCTCCTGACTCCACATTCCCAGTACAACTGAAATCTCAAATGAGAACCTCATTCTCATTCCAGGTCACCATTTCGAGCCTCACTCAAGTTCATGTATTTTCACCCAGCTAATGTGTTCAATATATACTTTAATAATTATTTAGAAACTGGAATTTGAATTCTAGAGAATATTTCTGATTATATCCAGTTGGTGACTGCTGATGGGAAATAGCTCAAGAAGGGTAAAAGTTCCTGCAGGAAGACTCCGACTGCTTGGTTTGAATGGCCTGAGGACCAAGGAGGTAGAAATGTACAACACAGCCCATGCCTTGATGGGCGGGTGAGAGATCGGACTACTAAACGAAGGAAACTGAGATAGGATTGACTTGGTCAGTTTTGGAGCTACCTGTTTCTAGCTATTAAAAAAAAATGCAATCTTTTATTGCTACTCTGAAGGATAAATGTTTGGGTAAAACTGTGAGCAGAAATAGCAAACTCCAATGCCTTCATGACAGCAAAGTTCATGTAAATAAATAACATGGGTCAGGGTAAAAGGTAACAAGGAACACGGAGACGGTTTCCAAGGGAAGCTAAAGGGGATTTCAAAAAGTTTATGAAAAATAGATCTAAACTATAAGTTGATTTTGGTGCCAAAAATGTTTAAATCCATGCATATTTTGAAAAATATGAACTTTTCAATAAAGAAATAAAGAAAGAAATAAAGAACTTTTCAAAGACACCTCCCCTCCCCCCAATAAGATTCGGCTGTCAGCCAAAAATCCGGAATTTCGGGTGCAATGATCTGCTTTTTAAACAGTGGCAACTAATTTGTTTTTTAAGAAACACTGGTCAGACCAGAAAAGCAGCCCATCTATAGTCTGTTTTGGACCCTAACTCTGGCCTTCCTGCTAAAACCAGTATTTTATTTAACCTGAGTTCTGATAAAGCTAGGGGCCTTGGTCTTATGCTGCCAAAGGCTGCAGAGCTGAAGTATTTTTGAAGGAAAAAGGCAGAGAAAAACCAAACCATTCTCACACCAGCCCTCTTCTTCCCTGCCCTGACGGCACCGCACAAGGCCACAGGGGTGGTGGGGAAGTACCTTGCGCGTTCTTCCCGAGACCCCTTCCGGGAACGTAGCCCATCTTCTGAAGAAGCTTCTGCCCAATCCCTTTTGTGTGTCTTTCCCAGCTGCCGAAGTCCATGAAAGACTTGGTTCCTCCAGCAAAACCCTTCTGGCTGGGCTTAAAATTGCCACCCTAAAAAGAAAAATCAATGTTTACTTATTAGAGAAGGGAAGAAAGAAAACCTAAGAAAGCCTAACCAGTGGAAAAACAGCCTGCCAGTAAAGAGAGCACTATGAGGGACCAGCAGATGGCATAATGGTTACATTGCGATATTCCCACATAGTCAACTGTGGTTCGAGTCCCAGGCCCAATGGCTTAAAACTCACACGGAGGGTGGGGGGATGGGGGTGGGCAGCAGTTAATGTAATGGCTATGTCGCTGGACTCCCACATAGTCGACCACGGTTTGCATCCCGGACCAGGTGGCTTAAAACTCACACCGGGCGCATGTGCATACGCACCCAAGATCCCAAGAGGAGAATGGAGGAGAAGGGATTGTGGCGTGGCCATCCCCCCTGGGGGGTGATTTCTCGCTTTCTATCTCTCTCTGGCGAGCGCACGCACCCTATAGCGAAAACTTCTCAAAAAAAAGATTAAAAAAAAACAAAAAAACTCACACTAGGCGCGCATGTGTGTGTATGCCCAAGATTCCAAGAGGAGAAGGGCTTACAGTGTGGTCATCCCCCGTGGTGGGTGATTTCTCACTTTCTGTCTGTCTCTGTCTTTCTAGCAAGCACATGTGCCTACAGCAAAACTCTCTCTCTAAAAAAGAAAAAAAAAAAAGCGTCATATGAACAAAAACACCACATCTGTGGTGTGTGTCAGCAAAGAGACTACACTGCATGGCTCACATCTCATGGGAACCTGCTGCTGCTGGAGAAGTCCACATGACATGACTAGGGTCCTGCCAGGCTTTTCCTTCCTAGAAGGAAGAGCCTGGGCTATGATGCCTTCTAGGAAGGAAAAGCCTGGGCTTTGATGCCTTCAAAGGATACCACTAGGTCCAACAAGCCTGCAATACTCTACCGTTTTTAATTTCTTTGGTCCGAAATCCTTAGGAAAGTCATCCTGCTTAATGGGTTTTTCTTCTTCATCAGAATCTTCCAATTCCGCCTCCTCTGCCGCCCCTTTCTTGAGCCCCGCGCTGATGAAGTTGACAGGTGCTGAATAGTCGCGGGCCCTGTAGACACAGCCCACAGTCTGTAAAGAACTCTTCTGCAGTTGTCCTTTCGTAGAAACTTTGCCCGCTAGAGATTTAGAGGGGACCTCAGGGGACATTTGAAAAGAGTACAGCTCCATCCTGGTGGCACACAAACAGCACCACTGCTTGTGAGGTCTAAAGCCACATAGGAGGCCTGAGACGGCTCAATGGCCAACCTGAACACTGAGGGTGGCTGTGTGCACCTGCAATCCTACCTAATAGGGAGGCTGGGCCAGGAGGATCACAACGCAGCAAGACCCTGTCAAAAATACCTATTATCATCTCTTCCCCTTTCTGTCTTTCTCCCTCTCTCATCCTTATAAACTTAGAAAGTAAAACAAAAGGGTAATGCATTCATTTATATGTCAATCAAAAAGACCCAAGATCAGGCTTCACATCTTTATTGGACATGTTCAATTCAAATCAACTCAACACAAATTGAAAATATGACATGATAGTCCAATTTTCCTTCTACATTTTAAAATTTCATTTATCTTAAAGTAGATTTGTTTTGGACACTATTTCAAGCTAACAAATGAAACAGGAGCAGAAAGAAATTCTGATCCATAAAAATTGTAACTAAATAAAATATATTAAAAGGTTGGGAGCTGGATTCCACATGGCTGACTACAGTTAGAATCCCAGCACTGGGGCCAGCAGGTGGTGTGGTGGTTAAGGGCACTGGATCCCACATGGCTGACCGCAGTTCGATTCCCACGGCTTACTTTCTTGCTTTTCCTCTCTCTCTCTCATTCTGTCCCTCTCTGGTAACATAACATAACATAACATAGTTAAATTAAAAAAAAAAAAATCGAATCCCAGCATCAGCAGCTTGTAAAACATACTATGCACATGTGTGTAGATGTTCAAAATTCAGATGGGATGGAGAAGTGGAAGGGAACGGATTATGGTGTGACCATGCCCCACTAAAGCATAACTTCTCTCTCTCCCTCTTTGTTTCCTCTGGTGAGCGTACTCTCTTGGCAATAATAAAAAAAAAAAAAAAAAAAAAAAAAAAAAAAACATTTAAAAAAAAAGTATAAACTCATGTATCACCCAATGATGGAGGTAAGTCCTAAGACAGGTGGTTGGGTGACTGTCACTGTACAAACATAAGGTGTACTGACACAAACCTAGACGGCGTAGTCTATTAGAAGCTTATGGAGCCACCATCACAGATGCAGTCCATCACTGACCAAAATGTCACTGTGTGGTGTAGGGCTGTATATTAATCAAACTTACAAAAAGCTTTTGTATATTAAATTTAGTTGAATATAAAAACCAAACCAAAATACCTAGAATTAACTCCATACAATTAAGTGTAATGACGGAAACCCTGACCACCTCAAGAACAGCACTTACAATAAATCCTTAACCCCCGTCCCCTTTAGTGTGACCTGATGCTGATATGTTTACATTGCATGGTGAAAGGAATACAGAGAAAAAAATTCCCATTAAAAACCCTTAGACTGCTGCAAAATTAAGTGATGCTTTACAAAATTACCAACCCGGTGATTAAACATCCCCATGGCTGCAATAGAATTCAGGGCCTTTTTTCTGAGAAGATGAAGTTTAACTTAGTGGTTGAGACCCCAAACTCCAGAGTTGGAGAGGTCCAGATTCCAATTCTAGCTCAGCTTCTGCCCAGTTCTGTGATTGTTCTGCCTCAGTTTTTTTGTTTGTTTGTTTTTGTTTTTTTTTTAATTTTTTTTAATTGCCAGAGGACATGTGTGTGAGTACACATGAAAAAGAAAGAAAGAACAAGAGTAAACCTCCCAACAGGGTGTGGTCAAACCCAATCCTTTTTTCTCCTATTTCTCATTCTGTCAGGATTTGGGGCACACATGCACGCTCTGTTTATTCCAAGCTGCCAGGGCTGGGACTTGAACCACGGTCGGCTATACAGGATCTGCTCCCAACTGCTATGGTATTGGGCTGGCACCGGCCTCAATTTCTTCATTTTCAAAATGGATATGATAATAATGCTATCTTTCTCATAAGGTAAATGAGACCAGGCTTGCAGCAAGAACAAGCAAGCAGCCAACACTGGTGACTTCTGCCTTAAGGTTATGCAGTTCCTGATAGCGATCTACATATCATCTGCTTTTTTCTTTTTTTTTTTTGGAGAGGTTTTTGCTATAGGGCGTGTGCGCTCGCCAGACAGACAGAGAGAGACAGAGAGACAGGAAGCGAGAAATTACCCCCCAGAGGGGATGGTCACGCTGCAATCCCTTCTCCTCCATTCTCCTCTCAGGATCTTGGGCACGCACGCACATGCGCCCGGTGTGAGTTTAAGCCACTGGGTCCGGGACATGAACCACAGTCGACTATGTGGGAGTCCAGCGACATAGCCATTACGCTAACTGCTGGTTCCCCCATACCATCTGCTTTTAAACTTCTTTCTGGATGAGAAGAGGTTTTACTGATCCAACAGCCATCCTCCTCCAGCCTCCTTTGGAAGAGGCACAATCTCAGTGGGCAGGAGACCCTAGAATCCACAGGTGGGGCAGAGAGAAAACCCCAAGCCTGCCATATACTGGTTAAGCGAGCTGTGGCCAGTGCACACGTGACCTCATGCTGGGGAAGCACTCTGGGCCTGAATCTTCCTCTCTCTGCCACCATCCTAGCACAGGCCTTTGCCACCTCTGCAGGGACCACTGCCTCGGAATGGTGCTCCACTGTGGCTCCATGCCACCTCTGCAGGGACCACTGGCTCGGAATGGTGCTCCACTGTGGCTCCGTGCCTACTCTGCAGGCCAGCAAAAGGGGTTTCTCAAAACATTACCCTGGGGACCACAAGTTAGTGTAATGGCTATGTCTCTGGACTCTCACATAGTCGACTGTGGTTCGAGTCCCGGACCTGGTGGCTTAAAATCACGCTGGGCGCGTGTGCATGCGTGCCCAAATCCCAAGAGGAGAATGGAGGAGAAGGGATTGCGGCATGGCCATCCCCCCTGGGGGGTGATTTCTTGCTTTCTATCTCTCTGTCTCTCTCTGTCTGTCTGGTGAGTGCACGTGCCCTATAGCAAAAACCTCTCAAAAAAAAAAAAAAAATTACCCTGCTCCCCTTCCCACCCTTTCTACCAACTGTCCTTTTCAAACTCTGCTTCCACACACCCCAAAACCTTTCATATCCTTGTGGATACCCTATTGCCTCCCATCGAGGGCTGTCAAGACTTGCGCTTCTCCTGCCACTCTATTTCCCATGTATACCCATATCAGTTTAAGGTCACATCTCCAGAGAAATCCTCCCTGACCTCATAGACAGGTCAAATGTCCTAACCCACAGCCACAAAGTTCAACTGTCTGAGTTGCTTTTTAATACCCTTCTCTAGGGTATTAAAGAGCACAAGACCTAACACACAGCAGCAGCTCAATAAACACTGACTAGTGATCAAAGTGGTGAAAGAGCAGCACTAGGGCCTAAAGAGGAAACTGGATCTCTTTAACTCATGTCTTCACTAAGGGACTCAATGAGATTCAGGGAGAAGTGTCAGGGTGTTTCCCCAACTCCCTCTCCATCTTCCCCCAGCCCCTAAAGCGAGGGGAAGCAGCCCCGGCCCCGGCAGTACCGTTTGCCTCCGAAGCTGGGCCTCTCGTCATCAGAGTCGCGCTCTGCCCACACCCCATAGGTGGCCTCTTCCTTGGTCTGCCAATGGCGCTGCCGGTTGGGGTTGAATTCATTCTGGAGATCCCAGTCAGTGATCTCAAAGTTCTCCCGCTCGTCATCGTCGTCATCCATGCGGCCTTCCCCGTCCCGGTACAAGTGGGACAGCGACATGGTCAGTCACTATAGGAACGGACAAGAAGAACACGGCCGGTGCTACATCCGGGGGCAACAGCAGGCCTCCTGTGAGTCTCTACTCCTCGTTGTCTTCAGAACTTTCTCCACATTCAAAGTCCATTAAAACCACTGTTGCTATTCAACAAACCAGACATTAAAAACACATTTTAGGAAACAAGCAATACTAAACCAGATGAAGACAAAACATTGGCCCCAACATTCAAACAACACATTAGTCCCAACATTCTATGTGACTCTTAAAAGTGTGTACTTACTTCCCGGTACTCGTTAATGTCATAAACACCACACACACGTATACACAAACCACACAAAAATAACTATGTTATCATTAGTTATTATTACTATCATAGTATCAATTCAGAAATTGAGTACACACCTTCTTGAATCTCAGATTTTATTTTTGCTATTAATAAAGGAAATATTACATCCGGATCCTTGGTAGTATAAATTCTTTCCTTAGAAAGCACTTTCTGAAATCATTACTTGATTCAAAGACTCTTAGTTATCACTCTTAGTTTTCCTCCCAAGATATGAACCTTTTCTGATTGGCTAGAAGGCTGAAGTCACTGTGAAAACAACCTTAAGAGGGAACCAGCAGTTAGCGTAATGGCTATGTCGCTGGACTCCCACGTAGTCGACCGCGGTTCGTGTCCCGGACCCGGTGGCTTAAAACTCATGCCGGGCGCGTGTGCGTGCGTGCCCAAGATCCCGAGAGGAGAATGGAGGAGAATGGAGGAGAAGGGATTGTGGCGTGACCATCCCCCCTGGGGGGTGATTTCTCGCTTTCTGTCTCTATGTCTCTCTCTGTCTGTCTGGCGAGCACACGCGCCCTA